CTGAGATAGCTAGTGCGGGGACGGGAACGCCGCGACGGTCGGTGCGGGCGAAGATCTTAGGGGCTTTGCCTTCGCGGGCTAGACCGTAGATTGTACGGGTGGCGATGTACAGATCGGAGTTTGCTGCTGAGAAGACGAAGAGAAGGATACAGGCGTTCAGGATGTGGGATAGGGCCGGGATGGCGGCCAGCTCAACGGCGACGACGAAGGGCGAGGCTGCGGCTGAGCCCTTCTTCTTGTTATCGTCCGAAAGAGCGAAGAGAAGGCTTGGGGAGTTGTATGGAACAAGTGTGCCAACTAGAAGCACACTCGTGACGTAGAAGACTAGGATCCGGTAGAAGGTCAACTTGATGGCGCGAGGGATCGTCTTGCGAGGGTTCTGTGCCTCGCCGACTGTCACTCCGACCAGCTCGGTGCCCAGGTAGGCGAAGGTAGCGGACACCATTGTGGACCAGAAAGCCAAGAACCGACCGGGTGCTCCCTCCATCTTGTAATGGTTGAAAGCACCTGGGCTCTTCCAGTAGCGGAAACCCTTACGGTCATGGTCCGGTCCACCACCAAGCATGAGAATGAAGGATAGGAGGATAATGCCGAGGATGACAATGACTTTGAAGGAGGACAGCCAGAACTCGAATTCACCGAAGAACTTCACACCGAAGTAATTGATGGCGACGACAATTACCAGGAAGATGGTAATCCATACTCCAGCGTTTACCTTCTCTGGGGGTATCCAATATGATATGACCATAGCACCGGCTGTCATTTGATTTGGTGATAGAATGATATATTTGAACCAGTATCTGGATCCATGTGAGCGAGGTCATGTCGAGGGGAGTGGATAGAACTTACGTCCAACCGAGTGTAAAGCCAAGTGCAGGGTCAACAAATCGGACAGCGTAACCAGTGAAGCCAGAGGGCAATGGCAACCAAGCTGCCATCTCTCCAAGAGCGCACATAACCAGGAAAACGATGAAACCAACCCAAGCATAAGAGATGAGAATTGCACCGGGCTATTCAAGTTAGTAAGGATGTTCAGGTGTCAATTTCGATGTAAACACTCACGCCAGCCCTGAACGAATTTTTGTTAGCCCTGGACCTCAGGGTAAAATGTGTAGAGAAACCAAAAACCACTTACTTTGCAAGAGCTTCTCCCGTTCCAATGATCAAACCAGTACCAATAGCACCACCGATGGCTGCCCACTGTCAGCACATGCTCATATCCAGCCTAGAGCTGCACCTACCAATCATAGTAATATGTCTCGCCTTGAGCGCACGATGCAGCTCAACGTGGTTGGGGTCATTCAGACCACTCTGAACACCTTGCTCAACCTTGCCATCATCGCTGAACTCCCTTGTGACGGCATGGTCCTGGTATTCATCGGCCTTGGTAAACTTCTCCATTATGTGTTCGACGCGCAGAGGTTTGCGCTGACGAGGAAAAAGCCCAGGTAAGAGATAAATGTAATCCCAAATGTGAGACTAAGAAGACGGGGGTGAGGAGGAATTAAATGGAAAGCCAAGAGCGGAAAGTACACAGCCCTGGAAAAAGATAAGCAGCAGGGGAAGCAAAATGGCTGGAGGCTTGAGGGAAATACAATCAAATTAGATACGAGACCTTGGGAAGACCTCGGGACTCGCTTAGCCAAGGCTTTTTCATGGGGTAACATAATTTAAAACACCTCAGACCATACGCAGGTCACCTGGCTTGGAATTCTCCCCGAAGGGTTTCATCCGCGACGGGTTGGGGGATTTGGGTTTCCAGGGAGTACTAGTACAAGGCTGTGTTCATGAAATAGGGCTGTGTTTCTGAATTTTGATGAGGCTCTATACCTCTCGAATACAGGGATGCTGTAGAAATATCGAGGTAATTACTGTATACAGATTGTACTTTCTCCCCTGTATCAGATATGTCCAATTATCAAAGCTTGAAATGTAACAGATCCAACTCCAACCAAGGGAACACCAGAGCAAAGCGGAGACATTGGCGCCAAGATCGGACAATATGGGCCTCTGCGGGGAGCACTTTTCATCGGCATTCGCCGGACAATTTTAGGTTGCCCCATTCCCCCAGATTTTCGTTGACCTTGAAGCTTTTTAGTCATGTACATTTGGTATTTATATGTATGCTAGAATTACAATGTTTACTTTTTTCCTTACAGAGAGTCAATCCAAAAAGACACAAAAAGCAACAAAACCACATCCCTTTAGACTCAGCCACCCGATTGCCCAGGTGATAGCCCCATTCGCAATAAAAGCCCTTATCAAGCCCAACCCTAAACAGTACATGTAGCCATCCATTGCCAAGACGGAATTTCACCTTGGCTCGTGAACACTAAACTCAACCCGGGAGAGATGCACGTTTTTAAGGCTGGGCATTTGTGCCAAGACCATTCGCGTATGGTGCAGCCAATCCTTATCTCTCTTGGCGGGTGCCCGGATGTTCAGCGTGGCCTGCTCGTGTCAAGGTTAATCTATAGGGGGAAGTTTTGGCTAGAGATTGATGCAGAATATTTTTCTGGAAGGTTTTTGGGTTGTGGCGAAGACTTGGTAGGATTGCCCCGGTGGCTTTGGACAAGGCTGCGCAACATAAGATAATACGAGGAAGCGTCAGGGCGCGGAATTCTTCGATCTCTACTCTGTACTCCCTACTCCGTGCCTACAAAGTATATTTCATACATACTCCATAATTTCGCCGAAGATGTTGATCTCTTGGGCTTCTTCGATTCTTTGGCTCTGAATTTGTCGATAAATTGTCACAGTGCTTATCTTGCGCTTATTCCTAGGCTACAACAGTGGAGATGCCCAGCCTAAATAGCAAATTTTCAATCAGTTGCGCCATTTTTTGTACTCTCCCGTGTACCGGCGAATGTTCCAATTGGCATGGCTCTGAGACAAGGCCTGATAAAGGAGGGAAACGCCAAGGCTAGTATCGAAGTCGGAGCGGCCTCAGAAGGAAAGCCCGGGTTACCTGACGTCTACATAAAGCATTCTCGTTTTCCAGTGTTGACCCGGCATGACTGATAACTGTCTTTTTGAAGTGATCGCATGTGGCTCTGAGAAGGGGTCCAATAACGGAGAAAACACTTAGGCTGGTTTCGAAGTTGGAGCAGTGTTGGGAGGAAAGCCTGGGGCAGCTCCTCTTGTTGGGCTTTCTAGTACCGACGATTTGAACAATAGAAAATTGGCGGGTCGTTGATATTGAATACCTAAAGCACACATAAGAAATTCTAGCCTTCAAGCGTGGACTCGGCTGTGACAGATAAACATTCTCTTAAAGTGATCTCACGGGGCGCTGAAGATACACGGTTGGTAGTTCGGCTCGGTGATCAGCCAGAGGATCAAGGGTCGAGCTGAATGGTCACAAGGAAGGTGTTCAACTTCACCAGTGTTAGGTCTCAGAGATCCTCCATCCGAAGTAGAAGGCCATGCCATCGAAGTAGTGCTAAAGAATATAAGGGGCATCCAGAACACAGAGAAGCAGGAAGCGAAAAATATTAGGGAGTGAGTAAAAGGAGTTTCAGCAAAGGAAAGACTGAGATAGTAATATCACATACCATGTTGGAAAGTGACACTATGATCAAGTCGGTATCTGCTCAGGAATTCAGGTAATGCCAAATTCTAGTAAACAGAAAATCGCGCTTGCTGGGTGCTCAACCAGGATAATCGAGCAAATTAAGCTCAATTTAGGTGATGGCAATATGATCCAGAGCATGCATAGGTGACGTGGAAGACGATAGCCCCCAACCAACAACACATCCAATCAGGCTTTAGTTGGGGTCAGACCGATAGAGAGGAGGAGGCTCGTGGGAATCGGGCGGGATTCAGCCTCATGAATATACCCGAAGAATCGAATCTACCGGTTAGATCCGTTGTTCATTCGTCGACAGTCAAGAATCACAGATGCAGGTTGCGACCCACAGCGCTTCGATCCATGACTAGCAACGTGGCTTTGGAAAGACGAATTCATGTTACCTCATAGGGACTCAAATTTGAGGGGGTGTGTAGCCACTAAGTCTATATCATATATGCAGGTCTAGCGCAGTTGGCTTGAGAGAACAAAGGGTTTGGCTGAGCTCTGCCTCTCACAAGTGAGAATCAGCCGCTGTGTTCAGCCTCGTGGGAGCGACGCATCTCCCGGGTTGGGTGTAGGGGGTGAAATAGTGGCGGTGGGTCTATGTTGGTGCAGTTGGGGGGGACTCGAATGGAGGGGGGATGGCTCGTATTTACTTAACTAGGTGGCACCACAGAGAAGATATGCACAATGGCGACCCCTGTTATTCGTCAGAGTACAGTTTATGCCACGGAGTACTCCGTATATACACAACAATGTGTATGCGGTGTCCGAGGAAAAACGAGCCAGTCAACATCTCATAATATCCGCTGTTGCTTCGAAGCTAGTGCAAGCTACCGTTATCAAGGCAGGTTCCTGTGAACACGTCCGGAGCTAGCAGCTGGGAGACATTCTCAGCCTGTCGATGAAAGTCAACGTTACCAACACCCTGGATGGTGGAAATGTGATTGAGGTGCTTTGGTGGGGGCCATTTGGTCTACAAATCCAATGTCTTGAAAATGTGCTGTGGCGTGCATAAGTGCGTTAGGGCAGCGATCAATGGAGGTCGTTTATTGGGTGGTGAACGCCGCAGCGGTTACAAGTATTTTTATATTTTGGTCGCGCTGATCGGAGGATTGTGATTCGTTCAATGAAGGTGGAATTTACTATCATTAGAAATATGAAATAGTAGTTAATTTGACTGTTTTCCTTGTTAAGACTTGAAGAGATGCGGGGGAATTGATGGTTGATTCTCCTGTCGTCCCCTATATCAGGGGTCCGATGGCAGTCGAACATCTAGAATCATTCAACTTCTAACTCTTCAACCAAAAAAAGGGGTTTCCCCTAATTTGTATATCTCAGATCAATTAATCAACACCATGGGTGTTATGCGTCTCCCCGCCCAACGGGCATCTATGTCCCCAATTCACCAAGAACCCTCACCAACGAAATGATCTCTCCCCCACTGTCTCCAGAATTCAGCTTTGATTCCGAGACCGTCACACCCTCTCTCCTCCCAGCTCTGGAATACATCTCCTCCAAACTCCAACAAAGAATGATGCACGTCACCCTCCTCATCGGCCGTGGAAAGCCCTACCCGACCGGTCAACCCTCCGACCTAATGATCATCCCTATCCACACAATCGAGCCACAAGCATGGCGAGTACTTGAACGGGCCATCTTCAAAGGCTCAAGAAAGTTCTCACTCGGCTCTAGCTGGACCGATGCCATCAGCCGTAGCCAGTATGAGCGTCAGGCAAACGATCACCTCGTCAAGCAATCCATCCTCCAAAACGAAGTCATCTTCAGCCAGGAGGGTCTAACTCTCCTGAACATGGACCGTATCTATACTTTCAAGCGTCGCATGTGTATCCTCTCTACCCGCCCTTTCTCCCGCGACGACAAACAGTCAATGTCATCCTGCGTTCGTCTACTCCACCGCATCGTGAAGGATTTCTCCGGTCGCCCCTTCAGCAAAGCTTTCTTCCACCGCGTCTATGAGCAGCTTGATGTCCCAGATGAGCAGCTCACTGCCGTCGCAGTTGCGTACAAGAATGTCCACAACGAGGACGCTATCATTCTTCCCGTCCAGGCAAAAGCTCCAGCTCCAGCTCCAGTGCCGACGCCAGCACCAGTTCCGGCCCAAGTCGAACCCATCGTTCCACTCAAAGTTGCAGCAAACGTCCAGGCCAAAGTCCAAGCAAAGGTTCAAGCAAAAGCCCAACCCAAAGCTACCGAGCGAGTCATTTTGAAGCCCAAGGCTGATCCCATCCCTATCCGGGTGAAGGCCGAACGCCCCCGTGAAGTGAAGAGATCCCCCATCCAGACTGTGCGCGGTCGTAGACAGCCTCCGCCATCAAAGATGCGGGGCCAGAATAAGCGTGGGCCCAAGACGCCTCTTTCGGCGTCGGATGTTACTCCAATCACGCGGAATGAGTGGAATATTCTTGTCAGCCAGGATATTCGTGTGCAGCCCAAGGTTACCAAGTGGGTTCCGTCACCGACTGTGTTGGCCGCAGCCTGAATTTGCTTTTTTGCGTCGGTTGATCTACAAAACAATTCACTGTTATATCTATAACAAACCCCTAGACCTTGTCGGAAGGACTGGGTCTCGCCCACGGCTCACATTCCATCTCCAAGCTTGTTGGGATGGGTTAAGCTGGACAATGAAGACAAAGCCGAGAACTACATCTAGCCCATGTTGCTAGAACATCTCTATGTCTTCCCCGTATCTGATTCCATCAATGTTGGACCTTATAGGCCATTTTGGTGAAGGACAGATGGACCTTGACATACCGGGTGCAAGAAATAACCCGGTCCCTGGACAGGCGCCAAGGACTCCTTGGTACCTTAATGTGATATGATAATGATTCCAAAAGCTTCTAATCATGAATGGATGTATATAGTTCACCTCTTTGAAGATATTCATACAAATTTTTAATGAACCACTCAAACAATAGCACAATATTTATATATCTAAGTAGAATCATAGCTAGTTAACAATCCCCGAAAACAAATCAAATTATCCACAACCCTACATCAAATGCTGTTGAGATGAAGCGGCATGCTAGTTTGCCGAGCAGCAACATGGCCCCGCTCAAACTCGGCGACCGGCGAACTGAGACAGCTACGCGCCCAATCACAGACACGGGAAAGGATTTATAGTGGGTGTCGAACATTTAAAAATTAAAGTATTGAAGCCATTAGCACATGAGAATCCAAGCTGTGAATAATTCTTAGAGGTTTCCTATCAGTATCGGAACTCGCCGCTACTCTACATGGCACAACACCGTGGGATTTTGAATGTGATATGGATATTCATGACATCTTTAGTACTCCGGGATTCGGCTAAATCATGCAGAATCCTCCATGTGCATATACGGGAAGGGAAGGGTTGCCCGAAAGGACATTCTCAGGCTTGAAGATACCTGGATGTATGTAGGCTTGGCAGAACCGGGGCTTGGCGGGGTTATCTAAAAGTTAAGAGCTGCAAGCGTATAGGAACCCCTCTTCTGTACTATTTTTTTCACAGTCTTTTAAATATCATCTCTTTATATCTTCAAGAGAAATTGGGATATTGTTACAAAAATTTGGTCGGACAATATCCATTATGTCGGCATTCAATGAGCCCGCAGACGTAGACTCGGGCAGTCTAGACGGCGACCGCAAATGGAGTCTGCAGCCTCTTCTTCGCAGTGCTGAGCGCTCGCATAGCAAAATGCCCGGTATTAGGAAGATTCCTCTTCGCGCCATTGGTATTATTGCCTTTATCGCCTTGTTGAATATTATAGTTTGGGTGGCGGCGGCTATTGTGCTGGTATGTTTCGATATAAGTTGTGTGACATTGGGTTGATTCGCTAATGCTTATATAGAGTTACCATCCGTGAGTCTTCATTGCTGGATATCTTATAGTTTGAATCTCATGCCGTATACTAAGTGCATGAGATACAGTTCGCTGGTTTCTACTGCTGCTCTAGCCTATTCTCTTGGATTGAGGCATGCATTCGATGCAGACCACATTTCTGTATGTCGAATTTGGCCTGAAAATAGACCAAACTATTAACAATGCTGTCTGTAGGCTATCGATCTAATGACCAGAAGACTCCTGGCAACGGGACAAAAGCCCGTTACCGTAGGCACGTTCTTCTCGCTTGGTCACTCAACGTGAGTGCAGTCATCTCATTCTATATCAAATCAAATCTAACCCAGTCTAGCATTGTGATTATCACATCTATTGTCGTCGCAGCCACAGCAGCAGCAGTCTCTGATCGCTTCGACAGCTTCAGCACCGTCGGTGGAATCATTGGTACCTCCGTCAGCGCTGCCTTCCTGATCCTGCTTGGTCTTATGAATGCGTACATCCTGTATAAACTCATCAAGCAGATGCAAAAGGTCTTTAGTCTCCCCGAGGGCCATGAAGATGAAGCGTGGAAGATTGAGGGTGGAGGAATCCTTTTCTCGGTCTTGAAGAAAATGTTCAAATTGATTGACCGGTATGTTCTTTGGTCAAGCTATTTATGTTCCGCATGTGTGACAAAGATGTCTAACTTTGTCTAGTCCATGGAAGATGTATCCCCTTGGAATTCTGTTCGGTCTTGGTTTCGACACCTCCTCCGAGATCGCTCTACTTGGAATCTCATCCATCGAAGCAGCAAAGGGAACATCCTTCTGGGTGATTCTCATTCTCCCGGCTCTATTCACTGGTGTGTATCCTCACATGGGAGCCATGAATTCCCTTCTTCAGCTCTGACTAACACCTCCTAGCCGGCATGTGTCTCCTCGATACGATCGACGGAGCCTTGATGTTCTCCCTCTACATCCAACCAGCGGCCAACTTCCTGCCACAAAAGCCAACAAGCACCATTTCAGACACCTCATCAACAGCCACCGATCCAGACGAGCTCCCGCAATCACACAACAACCACCGTGATCCAGTCGCATTCCTGTACTACTCAATCGTGCTGACCACGCTAACCGTTATCGTGGCGATTGTGATCGGCGTGATCCAGCTGCTCAGTCTTATCCTAAATGTCACAGATGCCAAAGGTAAGTTCTGGGACGGGGTCCAGGTCGCTGGTGACTACTACGATGCTATTGGCGGTGGTATCTGCGGCTGCTTTATTGTGTTCGGTCTGCTGAGCGTTGTAGTCTACAAGCCATGGCGCAGGTGGATGGATCAGCGACATGGAAAGAATGTCGTCAATGATATGGAGAGGTATAGAGACGATGATGTTTCTCCTGATGATGCTCCCGATGCTGGTGTTATTGTGACTGAGACGACCGGTCGTACTCAGTACGATGGTACTGCTACTGCTACTGAGGTTGCTGGGAAGGGGGGGTTCGTCTCGCGTTGCTATCAAGGAGACTGGTGAGCCGAGACTTGAAGACCACATCGTGTAGGTGTTGCTATATCTTAGCTAGTATAACCTAATGATACTCTTGAAATGTAAGTGTTCTTAATATCTATCTATCTTTCGTGTTGTAGACTTTATAGGTGTATGTACCCAAGTAAGCATATTTCAAAGCAGCCCTGGAAATTAGTAAGTACTACCTGAAGGTAAACCTTCCAAAGTTGGAAGGTGCGAGGGTCTCAACGGGTTTACCCTCGTTCCTTCCCTTTGGGTCAGAACTTATCACAGATCCTTAAGCCACTGGAAAGGTATAAATACCCCCCTTCCCCCATTTCTCTCTCTTCTTCTTTCTTCCTTCTTCACATCTCTTCTTCTCTTGGGGTCTCCACCTTCCACTTTTCAAGGTTTCACCTTGCACCTTCCACCATGGACCTTCTATCATGACCCCCATTTACTATGGACCTTCCACCTTGGTCACCTTCCACCTTGGTCACCTTCCACCTTGGTCACCTCCCACCTTGGTCACCTTCCACCTTGGTCACCTTCCACCTTGGTCACCTTCCACCTTGGTCACCTTCCACCTTGGTCACCTTCCACCTTGGTCACCTTCCACCTTGGTCACCTTCCACCTTGGTCACCTTCCACCTTGGTCACCTTCCACCTTGGTCACCTTCCACTTGAGTCCCCACCATGCACTTCCATCATGGCCTTTCACCATCACCACTTTGAACTGTGAGCATACCTTGTGACATCCCTCTATTCCTCCCAAAATACGAACCTCGCTTACGAGTTTGTAGCAACCTTCATACCTTCCCTATCCACTTCGATCAACAACCACAACCAGTCTGACCGTGGCGGGCTTCGGCTTCAGGACAATCGGTAGACTGGTCAATCAACCACCCCGAGCATCCACTTCGAGTACCTACTTCTATCATCCGCTTCAACCAACCCCCCGAAACAACATCCACCAGTCTGACCGTGGCGGGCTTCGGCTTCAGGACAACCGGTAGACTGGTCAATCAACCACCCCGAGCATCCACTTCGAGTACCTACTTCTATCATCCGCTTCAACCAACCCCCCGAAACAACATCCACCAGTCTGACCGTGGCGGGCTTCGGCTTCAGGACAACCGGTAGACTGGTCAATCAACCACCCCGAGCATCCACTTCGAGTACCTACTTCTATCATCCGCTTCAACCAACCCCCCGAAACAACATCCACCAGTCTGACCGTGGCGGGCTTCGGCTTCAGGACAATCGGTAGACTTGGTCAATCAACCACCCCGGGCATCCACTTCGACCATTCATCCACCTCGATCATCCATCCACTCGAATCAGCATCCACCAGTCTGACCGCGGCGGGCTTTAGAGCTTCAGGACAATCGGTAGACTGGCCAACCATCCACATGCAATCAATCACTATCCAATTCAACCACCATTCAATAAGATCAACCATTCAATCAACCATTCAATCAACCATTCAATCAACCATTCAATCAACCATTCAATCAACCATCCAATCAACCATTCAGTTCAACCAACCATCCAACCAACCATCCAATTCATTCAACCATCCACCCTTACTCCCCATCCTCGACTTCATGGCCAATGACCATCCTGCAACCGGAAACCGTTCCGGTCGACAGGCTTACAGTAAAAACACTCCGATCGGGAGTTTAAAAGCCACCCACTATGAGTTGCCTCGAGACAAAATAACAGCCCGGTGTGACCTCGCAAAGCGACTCGGAAGTCAATGGCTTCTTTCCAGCTGTCAAAAATACGATTCGATCATGGTCAAGCACCTTTTTTTGCTCCTAATTTTCCCACTCCTTTCAATTACCACTTCACCTCAACTGCCATGCTCTCCACCAGCCCTCACGTCAATCCTCGCGCTCAAACCTACAACAAAACGGCTTCATCAATCTTCTTGATTGAACTTCTCCTTACCGGTATCTACCTCATATCCCATGCCAACAACCATCAATGTGTCGTCTGCTCCTTCCACTCTCAACGACAATGACAATCAAAACACCGACAACAATACCGGTCCCAATACCACTTCAACCACAAGAAGCCCAACCCCAAGCATCATTACTTTCTCCAAAGCCCAGTGAATGGGCTCATACAAGCTCATTCTTGCCAGTCAAAACCCAAGGTCCAGATTCCAAATTCCAAACCATCAACTCAGGCTACCGCAGGATCAACCTCTACAGCCAAAGTCCACAAGCCAAATCTTCCACTCATCTACTACTGGCTCGGCTGGTATTGCCTGGTATTGCAGGAGGCACACAAAATTGGGCTTTCCGGGATTCATATATCTACGTAGCAGGGTTTAACATGAGGGCTACTTTATTTTCTACCTTTGAGGATTCTTTTTGCATTGTTCCAAGCGCATGGAGGCGTGTTCACGGGGGAAAAGAGGGAAACATCATTTCATGTCTCATACCACCATAGCATTTTGTTCTCACAAGACACTCCATAGAAAGCAAATTAATAAGGAACTGTCATGGCCATTGTTTAATTTCATCTTGGTAACAAGTCTCCATATAGTAGGGTACTATGTCTCCCTAGGTCGTATTTCAACTTTATAGTTTGGTGCCTTAGGTGTCACATCTGTGACGTCAATCCTAGATGCCTCCCGAGATGTCACTCAAATTAACGTCCTAGCACAACTTCAGCCAAAGTCCAAATGAGATGAGATGAATATGCCTGTATAGGATTGAATATTCAAGGTGTCCGTCTCACTTGCTCGCCTTGAAACCAATGTTTGTCTCAAAGCATGAACGCCAGCAAAAGAACGAGCACGCTTCTTGTAACATCCCTCTCGCGTATATGATGACTTCATATCATAGATCTATCAAAGGCCCATTTTTCTAGATATATCAACGACCGTGATCGCCGATATGATCTCGTCTTTGGGGGACAAGACAGAACATGTCTCCATCTTCTCATCACAACTACCCATCTTCATTTTGCCAATGCATCTCTCCCTGGAGGAACTGGACGAGCTTGAAGGCCGGCTGATAGATTATGGTGGGAGATTGACCTACGACATTGCTGAAGCTAGCCTCGTTCTGGGGAAAGTTGGGCGCGCGAAGCGTGCAGCGCTAGAACTGCGGACCCGTGGTGTCTGGACAGAGGAGCTCGTACCCAGCTCAGCATCTAAATTGACTAGCGGTGGCGCGGAGCCCCCTATCAAGCGCAGGCGCACAGATCAGTATGGTGGGACCAAGGATGTGCCCATTGAGATTATTGATCTTAGTACTGAGTCTGAGGGCGAGAATGGAGCTACGAATCGACATGACCCTTCAAAGCACTCAGTTCCAGAGAAAAAGGCAGAGGCAATTAAAGATGCAGTCACTGTTCTAAAGCTCGAGTGGCTGGATACCTGTATCAAATCCAGCAAATGTGTATCCCAAGACCCATTCGTTGTCTACCGTGGGCGAAAGATCCCCTCTCCTCCCACGACAAAGGCAGAAAATAAGCAAGACTTCCTTCAACAGAAGTCAAATCAAATCATCGAGCGTGCAAAACAAGATGCTGGTTTACCAACACCACGAACTCCCCCTCCAGAACATATCCACGCACAACGCTCAAAAGAACCTCCCGAGGGACCTTCTCAACGCCCGCGACCAACGCTATATCGCCAAACGACCTCTGAACACGAAAAAGAGGAAACCAACCCACCCCAACAACCAGACTGGGTCCGGGACCATGTCTTATTCGCATGTCTACGCTCAGCACCCTTAAACCCACCAAACCAAGACTTCATCTCGCAACTCGTGAAAATAAGAAAAATCCGCCAACTCACCCTCGATGAGATTGGCGTGCGTGCTTATAGCACCTCCATCGCAGCATTGGCAGCATACCCACATCCCATCCAACGACCGAGCGAGATCCTCGCTTTACCAGGATGTAACGCCAAGATCGCGGATCTGTTCGCGCAGTTCCAGCAACACGGTGACTGCGACCATACCGATGACGACGGGAATGTCGCCGCTGCCGATGCACTGGAAACTGACCCCATGCTCCGTGTTCTGAACTCGTTCTATCAGATATGGGGCGTTGGAGCGAAGACCGCGCGCGAGTTCTACCAGCGCGGATGGCGCGATCTCGATGATATCGTCGAGCATGGGTGGAACACGCTCTCCCGGGTACAGCAGATTGGAGTGAAATTCTACGAGGAGTTCCAAGAGGGTATTCCCCGTTCTGAGAGCGAGGGTATCGCTTCTGTTATCCGTGATCATGCTGGCCGTGTCCGGCCGGAAGATGGAGGTGGAGATAGTATTGAGTGTGTGATTGTTGGCGGATATCGTCGTGGAAAGGAACTGAGTGGCGATGTTGATATTGTATTGTCTCATCGTGATGATTCTGTGACTCGTAATCTGATTGTTGATGTTGTTGCGAGTCTCGAGGCGGAACGATATATCACTCATACGCTGTCCTTGCATTTGACTTCTTCGCTGCGTGAGCAGCAGACGTTACCTTTTGATGGTGATGATACGAGGAAATTTGATACTTTGGATAAGGCGCTGGTTGTCTGGCAAGATCCGCATTTTGACGCGACTACGGGGGATAATGGCCATAAAGGGAAGAATCCGAATATTCATCGTCGTGTTGATATTATCATATCGCCTTGGCGAACGATTGGTTGTGCGGTACTTGGTTGGTCTGGTGACTTGACTTTTCAGAGAGATTTACGGCGACATGCGAAAAAGGCACGCTCGTTCAAGTTTGATTCGAGTGGTGTACGAGACCAAAACACTGGAAAGCAGGTTGACCTGGAACACGATGGGCAGACCTGGGAGGAGAGGGAGAAACTTGTGATGGAGGGATTGGGGGTAGGTTGGAGACCACCGGAGGAACGGTGCTCAAGATAGATATTGACCAGGTGATATATTCTCCAGGGCTGGATATGAGTTGCCCAAAAGGTCATCGGATGTAAAAACCCATATATATATTAGCGATGTGTGCTGTTATATATGTATCAAACACCTTCTCAGATACTATTTCAAAAGGTTTAATATAGGAGGAAGTACGCCAAAGTATTCAGAAGTCTCCTATAAGGATATTCTCCAATACATCAAATGACGCTTCAAGTCACCCAACCGGGTAGAGGTTGTATACAAAAGTACTACCAGACTAGGCTATGTGATTTATGATTACGAATAAGAAACGGAAGTCACTGAATCATGTCATGTTCAAGTTTCGCAAGACTCAGCTACAGCCACATCAGGCAAACAAGAAAAAAAAGAGGTAATATGTCACAGCCTCCACGCCAATCGTGTGGCCATAAGGACGACCCGGAGAAAAGGAAAAGAGCATAAGGTACACAAAGATGCAAATTTACCAACATTTGGTATGAATGCATAAGAAGAAAAGAACACAACAAACCACCACTTACAAATGCACAATGCATAATCAACCCACAGCGAATCAATCATCACGCCATGGGCCTAGAGCTAGCCATCTCACCATACCGTCCACGACTCCGGGTAGTATCGTAAGCATTGAGAACACGCATCTGGCCGCCATCGTCGGCCTGGGAGAAGGCGTAGCCGCGCTGCTTGCGCATGCGCTGGACCTGGCGGACCTTCCGGATCGCTTTTTGGAACTGCTCCATGCGTGGACGGTAGTCCTGGACGTTGTATTTTTGGATTTCCTGGACATGGTGATATTGTTGTGGGTAGTACATGCGCTTGGCGTACTTCCAGGCATAATCACGTAGAAGACATATACAGGGTAGGACGATAGCCATGAGGTAGAAGATGGGCGACTTGAAGAGCACAGGGATAGTGCCGTAGTATTCTTGCGAGAAGCCCAAAGCCGGGGCAGCATAACCGTATGCCGGGAGGAAGATCAGCCACAGGGCCATTGAGCCTGGGATAGCAATGAAGGTGTATTTGGTCCAGATGTTGGTGATCAGAGCGGCTTTTCCGAGGACGGTACCCAGCACCGCGGTGTACAGAGCTTCACCCCAGACCCAGTGGCCGGCGACATGGCCGTCTGCCATGGGAAGGTCCCAGTAGTAGAGCAACTCAGAAACGATGTAGAGGACGAGAGAGTGGAAGAACCCATTTAGAATCCAGGCCCAGAAGCTGTGCTTCTTGAAGAAGACACCTTTCTGGCCCAGCTGGTACATCTGTGGGTAGCGGTCCAGCAATCGGGCGGAAATGTATTGGTCAAAGATTCCCATTGCGAATGGAGGTAGGACAGTGAAGAGCACGTTGTAGAAGGAGAGCGTCCAAGATTCGTAGATAACCTCTCCGGAGAAAGCGTTTTGGAAAGAATACTGTAGCAAGTCAGATACCACTCCAAATAATCCATCAAGGTCGAACTTACCCAGAATTGAGTCATATAGAGCGTAATATTCTTATAGTAAGAGTAAAGAATGACTCGACTGATACGAGAATAGCTCCACGCTCCGTGAACCAAAAGCAACTTCCGAAGGAACCGGAACTGGCCAATTGCGACATCGGCAGACCGTGCGGCTTGGAGACCTTCGACACCGCTGATGCCGACTCCGACATGAGCGGCTTGAATCATGGACACATCATTGGCACCGTCACCAATAGCCAAGAGAAGAGCCTTCTTGTGGCGCTTGACAAGCTTGACGACCAAAGCCTTTTGAAGGGGAGAAACCCGACTAAAGATCATGTTAGAACGGAAATAAGAGTCTGCACAATCTAATGGTACTTACCAGCAAACAACGGCTTTGCAAATGACAGCCAGATCCAAGAAGAGCTTCTCCATATCTTTCTCCAAAGCAAAAGTCAATGATCGCCCGTCAATGATCAAAGCCAAAGGTTCAGTGTCCCCAGAGGCAATTTGGCTCTGCACGGCGTCCATTTTCTTTTGCAAGCTATCACGAGTGGCTGCTGACGTCTCCTCGTTGATGATGAGAAGCGTCATGTCTTCCGAGATGAGTTTACAGGACATGCCGATGTTGATTGCAGTCTCCTGCCGATCACCGGTCAAGACCCAAATCTTGATGCCTGCAGTCTGGAGAGTGTGGATAGTATCCGGAACACCATCCTGCAAGCGATCCTCAATAGCCGTGGCGCCCAGAAGATAGAAATCCTTTTCGATCAGCTCAGCTGCTTTATCCAGTTCATCCGCACGATTGCCGTCAACAGTGGTAGAAGCCTTTTCAAAGATCTGTTGCCATTGCTGGAACTCATTTTCTGGGACTTCCCGCATGGCCAGACACAATGTCCGTAGACCATCCGAGGCATACTCCTCCAGGTGCTGAAGAGTTGGTTCCACAGTAGGGTTATCGGGATGCAACCGCTCAAGAATGACCGTGTCAGCACCCTTACAGTAGACGCGGACCTTCCCATCAGGACACCGGAAGATAGTGGACATTCTTTTTCTAGTGGAGTTGAACTCGCACACTGCCAGCAGTTCGTATTCAAGCTCCTGCCCTCCCATCTCAAAGATTACCGATCTCGGTTTTCGGTTGGTGAATCGGAAACCCAGCGAGGCGGCACCATCCACCAAGGCTCCCTCGTCTGGCGATGCTGCTTGGTACTTGATCACATTTGGGTCATCGGCGTTTCGCTCAGGAATAACAGTGTGACAGGTGGCAAGGAGAGTGAGAAATTCGCGAATAGCATTCTGGCTTGGGTGTGATTGAAGGTTTCCTCGAAGTGTTTTGAAGTCATGGATGCCAACTTCGGCGCCATCCTCCACGGTGGCACGTCGATCTTCGGGAACGTCATCTCCATATTGGATACCCGCAATACTAACTTGTTTAAACTCCATCATGTTGCAGGTAAGGGTACCTGTTTTGTCGGAGAAGATGTACTCAATTTGACCAAGTTCCTCGACAAGAGAGGATGTGCGGCAGATGGCCGGGGTGTCAGTTTTATCATAGTAAATGTCAAGGTCGGAGTTGATGAGGAAGGCCTGGAAGTATTTGACGATTTCAATGGTGACGAAGAGGGAGATCGGAACCAAATTCGAATAAAGCACCCAGTACGTGAAAATGTCCATAAAGAACTGCTTTACCATTTTGACCGACCCATAGTCGAGGTACGCAAGCTGTGAAGATTTGGTTTTCCGAATAGCGAGATCACCGACAGAACTGATGACACTCAGAATGACGAGAATGCTGACAAGCATCAAAATCTGAATGTTGACTGTTCGTTCCACGGCTGTTCGCTTGATTGGGGTTGCTGTCGCATTTCGCATCAGTTTTGTCTCGTGGCCACTAAAAACCACAATGCCATGAATCCAGGGAGTGTTGCGCAGCGTTGCACCACGAAGTAGGAGTTGATCAGGAGCCAAGGGTAACTCTTTCTCGCCACCTCCAGCATTCATAGTCAAGGTAGCTTCGTAAGTATACAGACTGCTATTTGGCTGTTCTGATCGAACGCGTCCACTCAGACGACTCAAATCACTCGGGCTGACCAGATGTGCAGTCTCTGGAATGGCTTGCTTGATTTTAAGATTGGTCTCGCCGTCCAAGTTTGCCGTCTCAATGTAGCATAGACCTTCAGGCTCAGACGATGCCAACAGTACCAAGTCGGCTGGGAAAGGCTGCTCGGACTCAACCCGAACTATATCCCCGACCACAACATCCACCCATTTTGCATCGTGGAACGAAGATCCCTTGAGAACTTGGGTTTTGGAGTAATTCAGTCCTCTGTCCGACATTCTCCGTTTATAGTCCTCCACCAATTCTTTGATCGCCGACACAGCCAAGACGATAGCCAGCGGAACAATAGTTGTGAACTTGTTCGTTGGTGACACATTTGGGATTTGTTGTAGGACAGCGGTAAACAAGAAGAACAGGTTGGCGTATTTAGAGAATTGCTCGAAGAGGAATTTGGGGATAAAGGTAAAGATGTTGTACTTGGCCGTCGATACGAAGTTGCTGACGAATCTGTGAGTGGCATTGGCGGGGGGTTGTTGAGCTGAATCAAGCGCGGGCCCAGTGTCGCGGGATCAACCTTGCGTGCAAAGATATTAAGGTCAGACACATTGAGCTTCTTGCGTTGCTTCGGTGGCGGCGCCGGAGAAGCATCGCTACCGACTGTCGCCCTTCTTGTGCCTGACTCCGTCAACGGGAGATCCATTTCCGAATATTGCGATGACCCCATGCCAAACATGTATTTCGCCCTGCCCATCAATCCACCCCCGAGTCCGAGGACGCTATTGCGCTCATTTGCCTTGCGGACGTGGTGTGAACTGGCAATTCGATCTTCGTCCGCGTCGAGATCATAATAACCGGAATGCCCATCGTCGAAGTCATCTAAAGAGTACCGCCGATAATTGTCCAGTCCGGAGGTCTGGGAGTAGCTTCGATCTCGCGTACCGCTGGAGTAGGGATCGTTTGCATGGAGACCGGGGTTGACAGGCGGATGCGCCGGTCCAGAAGCAGCATTGTGCTGTGTTGCGCCCTGTTGTGCACCAGACCCGACAAAGTTATCGTAGGAGACGGAAGGGCGCGGCTGTGTTTGGGCATACGGTTGTTCGGAGTCGTCAATGTTGTAGCGTTCTAATAGGTGTTCGTCGTTCACGGGAGGTCCTTGACCGGTGCTATACATAGGTCCGGAATCCAGCAGCAGGTCGTCATCGCGGCCAGCGGCTGGATGCGACCCAGGAGGCCTACCGCTGGCCATGATGCCGCGGGGAAGCTGACAGCCTCAGTGTTGTAGCGCAGTAACAATGCCCCTGAGGCATTAATCGCTAGGCCACGTCGACAGAAAGGGCACTGCTATATCTGTCAAAAGCAGGTATGATTGGAAACGAGGTATGGCGAACAAGTGACAGATTTGAGGGGACTTTGACTGGAAAAATGTGGGAATAAAGTGAGAATGAAGTCCAAGGGTGGCTTAGCGGGCGAAGGCAGCAATTAAGCTATGTTGATTTGATGCGCGGGTAGGCGGTAAAGCGCTTCACAACAATCAAAGAGATCGAATCTTTGGAATGATACTCTAATTATTATTTATAAAGTGATTGTATACTTTTTAAAACTTCCTAATTTCTATACTATGGTCAAAATACACTTTTAATCATTGGCCGCCTCCAGTCTACAACGAATTGAGCTAAGAATAGGGGGCTCTTGGCATCCGGAAATATATTAACTGCTTTGTTTGGAGTATGGAGTACGGAGTACATATACTCCGTACAATGTCCTTACACTGGTTCCACTTTAAAGAGAAAGATACGTTGTACCTTAATTGAAGAAAAAAAAACCCCCCAAAAAAAACCAGATCTAGGCATTTGAACGATTTCCATGAAATCTTAGGCGCCCAGTTTACATTTACAATTTAGGAAGAATGGTTTAGTGCATTCATCTACTAGCTCGCACTCATATGTCGCCCATCATGTGGCAGTCAAGTATCATTGATGTAAACGCCATGCGAAACTCCAGTCCCCCAATCATGAAAGTAATGGTAGTACATGCTGTTTATTCGATTTGAACAGGCCGGTCATTCTCTGCCCGAGACTCATCAGCCATGCCAATCTTCGCCCGCTTGGCCAGGTCGGCCTGGAGGACTTTCTCAACAGCAGCATTGATCTCCTTGACCTTTTCCCATGCCACATTTGTCTTGTTCACAATCACCATGGCATCAGCGGGTGCACCTGCGTACTTCGAGAGGTAGCAGACATCGCCTGCGCTATTAATGCCAATCACAAGGTCTCCCTCAGCAGCTTGTTCCTCCTTGAGGGTGGCATCAACAATGACATGTTTGCTTTCATTGAAGGTATGGAATGTGACTGAGAGAGGCTTGTGTGTGATGTTGAGTGCGACAGGCACGCGCTCCTCCACGCCATAGACTATGACACGTCCGTCTCTCACCACAGCGTCCGGCCGGCGGAAGTGTTGCAGTCCAGCCATGATGGCAATGCAGGCCGCATCAGTGATGTTACCGTCGTAGTCGATAATGTGAACATCGGCTCGGATCGACCAGCAGCTGACACCCTTCAGGATGCACAAAGATTCAGTGTCGAGAGCGTTCGAATGGCGGATGATGCGGTCAAGAGTGTTGGTGGCGTATGCCTCGATGTCGTTAGTTCTGTAGAAGTAGTTGTCAGAACAAATTAGTTTATGATGAAATCGCTAGGTGGTATATACCGTCCATTCTCCCAGGCTGGCGAGCCCATGGCACTCAGCTCCAGGTTGATGTTGAAGAGACCATCAAAGGGACGATCATCACGCGGCTTGGTGACCTCAGCGGAGATGCGAACAATGATACTAGAGAACCAGTCAGTGAGTAATTGTCATTTGTGATAGACAAACAAAAGATCTGGAGCTCACTTTGTCTTCCCAAGCTGCAGCTTGACATGACCATATTCTTCACCAAAGGAGATATTCAGAGGACGATATTCGTCAGGCTGGCGACCATCGAGGCGCACATTCTCACGGAGCGCCTCGAGGATAAAGTCGCGCTCTGCGATTGAGAGTTGCGCTTCTTTCGACATCGTTGAGGGAGGTCTAACAGCCCCGGCGCGGGGATCAGAGATGCTTTCTTTTTTGGGCCATTTTGCCGGTGCAGGCCGCATCGTAATGGTTCGGATTATGGTTATTCCGAAGGTTGCGCCAATGGAAGCGAGATTCCTATAGGGCGGTGAGGGCAAGGTGAGGAGAATGTTTGTGCCTGAGGCGACTACGTACATTGAAAGCTGGAAGCCATTAACGTCTCGGCGCTTCCAACTTTAACTTAGCAACCACACCACAAAATGACTACAGGTATGCCAATAGAAACAAAATTTGGGGATTTGAATGGTCATATCTAACATTTTCTTAGCCCACAGACCTACTTTTGACCCGGTACGACAACTTTTCTCAACACAATTCTTCACGGACACTGACTAATTTCACCAGGCGCAAGGCAAAGAAGCCCTCCGTGGTCCGGCCTACCATCAGCGACTCCTCCCTGCGCATAAACACCTCAAAGTTCGGTATGTAGAACGATACTTGATCAGACCGTACCGATCGCTGACCTTATTCTAGCCAACCCGGACAAGGCGGCGCCGCAGACGCCGACCCATCGCCCCGTGACCTTCGCGCAGAGCTTCTCCAGGCCGAAGCCGCACACTTTGCTAAGAAGAATGGCGTTCCAGTCGACCAGCAAGCTATTGCTGAACCCTCAGCCCCCAAGCGACAACTCGAAGCTGCACCCCAAGAGGGAGGCGATGGCGACATCGAGGAGGAAGACCCAGAGGCCAAACGCCGGCGTATATTGGAGGAGACGCGCGACATAGATGCCGACTCAGACGCGTCAGAAGAAGACAGCAGTGACGAGGATAGGTGGGTCGAACCCTGGATCCCGTGCCTAGGACGAATAAACTGACAAACCGCAGTGACGACGAAGATGAAGCAGCCGAATTAATGCGCGAGCTTGAGAAGATCAAAAAAGAGCGATTGGAGCAAAAGGAGAAAGAGGTATCTCGCTTTCTTACACCCTTGATATCGATAACGGAGGCTAATGCATAACAGGAGCGCGAACGTGCAGCCGAGGAAGAAGAGCAGCGAGAGGTTGATATTGCGCGCGGTAACCCTCTACTCAATTCCCAGGATTTCAACATGAAACGGCGCTGGGACGACGACGTTGTGTTCAAGAACCAGGCTCGCGGGACAGAGAACAGAGACGGCAAGGAATTCGTCAACGTATGTTTACCTTCCATTGGCTAATTCTTAAGACGACAAACTAATTCGTTTTTCAGGATCTTCTTCGTTCCGATTTCCACAAGCGCTTCATGGTATGTACCTGTATCTGCTAGTATTTTCACACATTCACTGACCAGGATTTCAGGGCAAATACGTGCGTTAGAATTTCCTTGGAGACTTGAGTATCAGGATGTTAGTTCAAGAGGTATTTCAGCTTAGCGAATGGGTATTGTCTTATGTTATTTTTAACGTCATATCAAAAAGAGCATTATAAATTGTCAAGGATTTTACCATAAAACAATGCTCCCTCTAAAAAAACCCACCACAACAGTAGTTTCCACGTACGAATCTTCTACGAATCGGCTAGATTTGCCCTATGGGGTTGGATTGTATTGTAAAGCAGTATATACCCTTCCCAGGCGTACTCTTCGAAACGGTATTCCATGCACAGAGTATGTGTTTTAAGAGTTCTGTGTATGTGCCAATTAGGGCAGTTCAGGTGAGAAGTGGGCCTCCCATATGTGCATTAACCCGCATTAGCCCTGTTGTCGGGATCGACGGTCGAGGTTGAAGGGGAATACGGAATAGGTACTGTAGAATTTTCCAGAGTGATAATTTGGGTGCTTGACATCACAAAATGTATATAAAAAGGCACCCAACCTCTACACAATTGCATAGGCAGCTCGACATCTATTTCTTAGTTCGCCAGAACCCTAACTGGCTCTTCTTATATCAGTAAATATCAAGAATCAGAGGCGGCCGAGGATAAAAGTCATGCCAGGGACTTAGATGAGTCCACTCAAACTGGTTACACATCTCCGTATACTTACACACAGACATATACATGATCAAGACTCATCTTCCTCAAATGCCCACCATGTATGCCCCTGTTAAGGAAATTTGCACTGTTGATGAGTTGGATAGCACTGGAAAATCAAACATCCTTTACCCAGGTGCTTTCTATGGAGACTCACCAGCTGATATCCACCCGCCAGGGAAAATTCGGTACGAATAGTTGCACATGTATGTTCCAGAATGCTTCATATAACTGCTCACGGTTATCTTATAAATTAAAAACCCAAGCCTAGCCTAGTTTCTTCTTATATCGACCATAATAACTCGATTTGTGACTTCAGCAACTCATTTCGGTGCGTCAACCCATGAGGGGAACACCATTGGAAGGACCTCCGGGGTCTGATCCGGCCAATTGGCCCGGATTACCTTCATAAGCTCATCGTAGACGATGCGGTTACCGGCGGAAGTCAGATGCAGACCTGTATAACGAGTGAGTACAAGGAAAAAAGAAGTGGAATATGGACATTTCCACGCACCATCACTGAGGAAACTAGACAGTGTGTCATTGTTCGGCACATCGCGAGCCCCAATCAGAGGTTCTCCCTCCTTCCAACCAGTGGGCTTCATGAAGGCGGACCACAAATCCACTACTGGGATATTGAGCGATGCACCGACTTCGCACGCAGCCACTGCATATGACTTGGTGAAGCTGGCGGTTCTGCTTGGGAATGGAGTGTCCTTTGCAGCATCGAAGGCCTCCAGTTGATGCTCATTTACGGGAGGTGGGCTGATCAGAATGAGTCGCGGGCTCTGTGCGCGTGTCGCTGGGTGCTGAATGATTGTCTTTAGGTTCTCTTTATATTGATCCAGGGGTACATGCTGATTGTGGGTTGGAACGCATGCATCATTGGCACCGAAGAAAATAGTCTATTCGATGTTAGTCAATTGGTCCTTTAGATATATCCGTAATTTCAACTGGGTCTGGAATTAAGGTAGACTTACCATGAATCGCACATTGGCCGTCTGCGGCGAAGGGAAGAACTTGTCAAAGACCTTGACAGCATGGGCGGTTGAATATCCACTGTTGCTTATTAGCATATCTCAGTCTAGTATAGCCATGGATGATCTTACGCCAGGCCGCGGTTGATAACATCCAATCTGCGACTGTAGGCTGGTTGTTTTTCTCATTAGCTTGTTGACCATGCAAAT